AATGACGTGGTTGCCAAGATGGGGCTGACCATTGTGCTACGGGGGCCATCCTCCTGAGCCCGCACCCTTTCCTCCTGAAATGGCTCCCGTATTGCAGAGGCAATGTCATCTTGCACACGTACTGTGAGTTCATGGCTCTGATGAAACTGACCTGTGTGGACACGGGGCAGAGAGGGCCTACAGTCTCCTGGTTGCTTTTCTAACCCATGTAGAGCGTGTTGCAGTAGTCCAAGCAGGAGATAACTAGAGCATGCACCGCTTTGGTGAGACCGTCTGGGGGCAGGTAGGGTCTCAGCCTGTGTGCCAGATGGAGCTGGTAGACAGCTGCCCTGGACACAGAATTGACCTGCGCCTCCATGGACAGGTGTGAGTCCAAAATGACTCCCAGGCTGTGCACCTAGTCCTTCAGCGGTACAGTTGCCCCATTCAGGACCAGGGAGTCCCCACACCTGCCCATCCCCTGTCCCCCAAGAACAGTACTTCTGTCTTGTCAGGATTCAACCTCAATCCATTAGCTGCCATCCATCCTCCAACCGCCTCCAGGCACTCACACAGGACCTTCACCACCTTTACTGGTTCCGATTTAAAAGACAGGTAGAGCTGGGTATCATCCGCATATTGATGGAAACCGAGCCCAACCCCCCTTATGATCTCTCCCAGCAGCTTCCCAGATGTTAAAAAGCATGGGGGGGAGGACAGAACCCTGAGGCACCCCATAAGTGAGAAACCAGGGGTCTGAACACTCATCCCCCCCCACCACTTTCTTGACATGGCCCAGGAGGAAAGAGAGGAGCCACTATATAACAATGCCCCCAGCTTCCAGCTCCTCTAGCCAGTCCAGAAGGATGTTGTGGTCCCACTGACGGAGGAAGAGGAATGTGGGGGGAGTGCACCACCCCCGGCAGTACAATCCCAGTGGGGGGCCATTTCGGCTGCCCCCGCCCACACTGGACATCACGCCCCAGGATGTGCATCACACCCCTGTGGGCAGCGTGCCCCGCCCCCAGGACGCGTGCCATGCCCCTGACTGAGGCACGCCCCGCCCCCGGACACCCCCCAGCCTGGTCCCTGCCTGCTCTCCATGCCCCCCCATGCCAGAGCATGAAGCTCCGCCACTGCATGGTCCATGCTATCAAAGATCCAGCAGAACTAGGAAACAGCTCTCACCTTTGTCCCTAGCTCACCAGAGATCATCAACCAGTGCAACCAAGGCATTTCAGTCTCAGCAATTGTTTCATCGCCCTCAGAACTGGGGAAAACCATGGGTTGTCCGGGCTCCATCCAATCGGAGAGGGCGCTTTGGAGCCAGACAGTCAATACCCCTAGTTAACTCTACATTCCAGCGGGACATCAGGGAATGAGCTGAAAGGCCATCAACGTGGGATAAAACATCCCCTATCACTCTCTGGAAACCATTTGGAGCCATTACGTGGGGGGGGGGTGGACCATCCTAATTGATCCCACCTCCCTGCAGAGGGGAAGGGTCGCGGAGAAGTCCAGTTGCACCAGGAAGTGATCTGACCATAGCACTTCTTTTGTTTCACTTTTACTTAGTGTCAGATCAGCAATATCCATAGAGGTGAACACCAGGTCTAAGGCATGTCTGTGACTATGAGTTTGACCAAACTTATTCAGGGACAGCCCCATGGAGGCCATGCTTTCCACAAAGTAATACTGAGTAATACTTTCTTAAGGTAAAGGTAAAGGGACCCCTGACCATTAGGTCCAGTCGTGGCCGACTCTGGGGTTGCGGCGCTCATCTCGCTTTATTGGCCGAGAGAGCCAGCGTTCAGCTTCTGGGTCATGTGGCCAGCATGACTAAGCCGCTTCTGGCGAACCAGAGCAGTGCACAGAAACGCCGTTTACCTTCCCGCCAGAGCGGTACCTATTTATCTGCTTGCACTTTGATTTGCTTGTATAAGACAAAAAGAAATCTGTGCTGGAGGTGTGGTAAAACAGGAGGGACACTTATAGATGTTTGGTGGACCTGTGAAAAAATCAAAAGCTTTTGGAACACAGTGTATGACGACCTTAAAAAAATGTTTAAATATAACTTTATGAAAAATACAGACGCTTTTCTACTAGGGATAACAGACGCAGGTATAGCAAGAGAAGATCAGAAAACACTCCTCTATGCCACAGGAGCGGCAAGGATCCTAATTGCCCAAAACTGGAAAAAGAAACTGTGCCAACAAAAAGGAGTGGCAAGACAAACTGTTAGGGTATATTGAACTGGCTAGATTAACAGAGGCAATTAGAGATCACACTAGACAAGAGTTTCAAAAGCATGGGGGAAATGCAGGGAATGCTTCACAAAACTGTGCTCTAAAATACATACCTGGACTTGTTTTGATTAATGTCTGCAGGAGACTTTGTGAATATTTAAGTTATAATTAGAAAAATCTTAATAATTATTCATAAAGGAAACAATTTATAAGAAGTAAATAAGGAGGCCAGATACAGAATAAAGGAAGTCTTTTATTTGGTTGTTTGTATTGTATGTTATGTTCATGTTTAATGAGGGTGGATTTGTGTATGTGGGGGTTGTGTTATGCTGTAAATAAAACACACACACATATATGTATATATATATGAACAAATAATATTCATTGCTGACAAATCATACCATCGTCAGCTCATTAATCTCAACCCCAACAAACCTTGCACTTAGCGTGAGCAGCTGCTTTCTTCCCATTTCTTAGGTGGAAAGAACTAATAATGAAAAGGAAGATGGGACATAGACCCTTTCCCACAACCTTTGGAGGTCTGGGGGCTTCATTTCACCCCTTGGTCCTGCTCCTGCAAGCTTGGCAGATGTGGAGTATTTGCTCACACTCTGCCATGACTTAAAAAGCAACCTTTTTATTTTATTTTTTAAAAAATGGTATTACAGTGCTAAAAAGGCTCAAGAAAGCAATTCCTGTAGTAGTTGGCAACTCTATTATTATTATTATTATTATTATTATTATTATTAGTATTATTAAATTTTATTTAACATAATTATTACAAAATATAAACAAAATACTGCAAATATTTCAGATAAGCACAGATATATAAAAAAGAACAAAAAAAGAAAAAAGGAAGAAAAGAAAAAGAAAAAAGGACAAAAGAAGAAAAATTGGAAGAATTTCTTCCAAGTTTATTCTACAAATATCTCAATAATAAAATTTCATTGATTGACTTCCATCGCTTACACTGCACTTCCTACATACATTTTAAGCAAAATTGTATCTGTTATTCCGTATTTTTTCCATACAATCTCATACAAATATTCTAATCAATAAGTTTTCTAAATCTTTCATAAATCTATTCTAAACACAACCAATGATATTGCAGTGCTAAAAAGGCTCAATAAAGTAACTCCTGTAGTAGTTGGCATCTTAGCAACCCCAATGCCACTCTTTCAACTGTCTCACTCCCAGCTAACTTATCTGGAAAGCTGTCCTGTCATCTCTGCAATGACTTCAGTGTCCCTTGAATTAGCAATTCAGCATTTCTGCAAGGGGAAATGATATACTTTTGTATATTAGCATAAAAAGCATGCATAAGAAAGTATTGGGACGCAGGTGGCGCTGTGGGTTAAACCACAGAGCCTAGGACCTGCCAATCTGAAGGTCGGCGGTTCGAATCCCTGCGACGGGGTGAGCTCCCGTTGCTCGGTCCCTGCTCCTGCCAACCTAGCAGTTCTAAAGCATGTCAAAGTGCAAGTAAATAAATAGGTACCGCTCCGGCGGGAAGGTAAACGGCGTTTCCGTGCGCTGCTCTGGTTTGCCAGAAGCGGCTTAGTCATGTTGGCCACATGACCCAGAAGCTGTACGCCAGCTCCCTCGGCCAATAAAGTGAGATGAGCGCCGCAACCCCAGAGTCTGTTAATGCTGTTAATGGTTTTCCCAATATATAAAGCCCACTTGATCATTACCTCCTTAACCTGTTCATCTTTGACCTCCCACTCCAATAATGTATCATACATTTTTTATATTACCTTGGTTTGGTTTGGTAATAACTCTTTTTCTAATAATGAAGGTTCGTTTGAGAAACCATTTTTCTTATCTGTCCTGAACACAATTGATGGTATTGGATCCAACTCATAAGGTGTTTCCTCATAATCTTTAATTACCAATTTATTGTCTTTCCCCCTAATTAGATCTTAATATGTGGCCCATTCTAATTCCATATTTTCTTTTATTGTAATTGCTTCTAGAGGTGATGCCCACCATGGTGTTTTCGGTTCTAGGAGATCCTTCTATTTTGTCCATGTTTTATATAATGGTTTCCTTATGACATGATTCGTAAATCCCTGTGTAATTTCCCTTTTTCATAAGCTAAATACGCATGCCAAACATAACAATTATTAAACCCTTCTAAATCACCATCTTTTAATACAATCCACTATTTTAGCCAATTTAAACAGACAGCATCGTAATATGAATTTAGGTCAGGTAGCACCAGTCCACCTCTATGTTTTTTACCTGTTATAAATTTGTGTTTAATTCTTGGTTTTTTTATACTGCCATTGTGATGGCCTGGGACTTGGGCTCGGACTTGGAACCAGAGGAGACTCAGTCTGCACCCGATCCTTTGCCTCAGGCATCATCTGAACCAAGTCTGGGGCCTGATCCTGAAAGTCCCAGTCTGCACAGGTTCTCCTGCAACAAACACCAGCCGGGCAGTCAGGAGCCTGAGCCTGCCCTGGCTCCAGATGCGGGAATGACCTCATTGCCTTCAGCTGGGCCATCACTTACAGCTGCTCCACTACCGGGTTGGTCAGGGGAGGCTGAGGTGGCCCCTGGGCCTAGTAACCCACTGACATCTCCCGAGCTGCAGAGACTAAGGTCTGAGATAAGGAGCGACCTGAGCACTCACAGGAGAAGTACTCACCTTCGGGCGGAACAGGGAGCGGGGGATCAGGACCGGCCGCTACCCTGACGGAGAGTTCCAGAAAGCAATCAGTTGCAGGCAGGATGGACGAAGCAGGAACAAAATGCTGCAACCAGTAACATGGTTACTTAGAGGTGTTTATTATTTTCAGCAGACTCTACAAGTTACTATATACAAGAACAGATACAGATCTTAACTAGCTCTCTCTTAACAAACTCCAAACGACTCTTTTCTCTCAGAACACCACACCAACCAACACACACTCCAGTCAGTAAGGTCATAAGTCATCATGCCTGTGTGAACTCTCAACCAATGGTAAAGCTGTATCCAAGGTTTCATATCTCCAGGCAGAATTACTCCCCTCTGCTCAGTCTCCTTGGCCTTCAGCCAACTCTTAATTGACTCTGTGTGAAGCTGCACAGAATGGCACGTAGTCAAAAATACCAACAGCAGTCCCCTGATTAACAAAGTTTCTAACTCCATCCAAAAAAAGAAAAGAAAGAGAGATTTCTCTGGCTTTACTTGTTTTTGAGAAAGCCATGCTTTCATCCTGTATGTTTATGTTGTGGACCACCTTGAAATCCTCAGATGATGGGCACATAATTTTTAAAAATGATAATAAGAAGGATATTGGCAAGCTGGAACATGTGCAAATGAAGGCGACCAAGATGGTCTTATTTTATTTATGCATTTAATTAATTTCTATACCACCCTATACCAGGGGTGCCAACTTGAATAAAATATAGAAGGGGTTTAGTAAGCCTCTCCTCGCATAATAAATCACATGATGTGATGCATGCATGTCATTTGAATGGCAATGCCTATCAACTGGGGGGTGCCCCCCTCAAATATTTTATTGGGGGGCAAAGACCCATCGGCCTTTAAGAGTTGGCGCCTATTCCCTACACCTACAGGTCTCAGGACGGTTACAACATAAAAACACAAGATACACATCTGTAACCCCGCTCCCCACCAAATTTTAAAAGGCATTAGATGTCAATCAGCCAAAGGTCTGGTTAAAAAGGTGCCTATTTGACAGACTCCTAAAGCTGTATAATAGTTTTTCTGACCTCTGTATGAATTCTTTGATGGGAAGTGAGATCGGAGCTCTTCCTGAAGCTCTTTCCACATTCCAGGCACTGCTAGGGTTTCTCCCCTGTATGAATTCTTTGATGGATAGTGAGACTGGAGCTGGTACTGAAGCTCTTTCCACATTCCACACACTGATAGGGTTTCTCCCTATGAATTCTTTGATGGAAAGTGAGATTGGAGCTCTTCCTGAAGCTCTTTCCACATTCCAGGCACTGATAGGGTTTCTCCCCTGTATGAATTCTTTGATGGGATGTGAGATCGGTGCTCCAACTGAAGCTCTTGCCACATTCCAGGCACTGATAGGGTTTCTCCCCTGTATGAATTCTCTGATGGGAAGTGAGATCGGAGCTCCTCCTGAAGCTTTTTGCACATTCCATGCACTGATAGGGTTTCTCCCCTGTATGAATTCTCTGATGGGAAGTGAGATTGGAGCTCTTACTGAAGCTCTTTCCACATTCTGCACACTGATTGAGTATTTGCCCTGTATGAATTCTTCGATGGGAAGTGAGATCGGTTCTCCTACTGAAGCTCTTTCCACATTCCACACACTGATAGGGTTTCTCTCCTGTATGAGTTCTCTGATGGGAAGTGAGATTGGAGCCCCAACTGAAGCTCTTTCCACATTCCACACACTGATAGGGTTTCTCTCCTGTATGAATTCTCTGATGGGAAGTGAGTTTGTAGCTTTCAGTGAAGCTCTTTCCACATTCCAAACACTGATAGGGTTTTTCCCCTGTATGAATTCTCTGATGCTTAGTGAGATTGGAGCTCTTACTGAAGCTCTTTCCACATTCCACACACTGATAGGGCTTCTCCCCTGTATGAATTCTTTGATGGGAACTCAAAGAGAAGCTGTTCCTGAAGCTCTTTCCACACTCCATGGACTGATAGGGGTTCTTTCCAATGAGATTTTGTTGATAGGAAGTGGAATGGGAGCTCTGACTGCAGCTCTCCCCACGCTCCAAATTTTTACATGGCTTCTCCTCTTTGAGGATTTTGTTGTGGTCACCCTTGTTCTCGATTTCCAATTCATCACAATCTGCAATGCAGACAAAAATGGGTTTGAGCCTCAGGAACAAATGGAAAAGAACTGAAGGGAATTGGGGGAGGATGTTCATTACCTTTGTTGTTTGTCATTAACCAATATATTCATTATTAGACTCTGATGGGTTGTTGAATGTTGCTTGGTTTGATATACATTAGTGGTCTAAAATGTCGAAGCCTTTTGGGAAAAAAAGTTTTTTCAGAGGTTTGATGGCTTATAACATCACTTCTTTTGGAGTAATATCATAAAATCATGTATCAAGGGAAAGATAATTCAATCAAGAATGTAATGCAACTACGTTTGTTCAATTATCTGTATTCTATCAAAACCTATAGCCAAATAACTAGAAAAGGAAGTACAACTTTCTTTGGTTAACGTTTCTCAGCGTGTTATGTGATTGCTATCATTGATTGGTTTTTGTGTTTTTTCATTTAGTGAGTTTCTATAGTATAATAAAATTAAAGAAATGGCACAAAGAGTTGACTGTTCACGCAGAAAGCGATGTAAAATAGCCAATGTGGTGTAGTGGTTAAGAGCGGTGGACTCGTAATCTGGTGAACCGGGTTCACTTCCCTGCTCCTCCGCCTGCAGCTGCTGGGTGACCTTGGGCTAGTCACACTTCTCTGAAGTCTCTCAGCCTCACTCACCTCACAGAGTGTTTGTTGTGGGGGAGGAAGGGAAAGGAGAACGTTAGCCGCTTTGAGACTCCTTAGGGTAGTAATAAAGTGGGATATCAAATCCAAACTCCTCTTCTTCTTCTTCTTCTTCTTCTTCTTCTTCTTCTATTAAGTGAACAAGGCTACACTTATGAAGAAATTAGAAGAAAGATTTTGGGAAACATAAGCAAAGCTGGCATTCCTATATTTTTGAAGAGGTATAAGGAGACTTAGTCACTGCAGAATCAGGCTGGTAAAGGCAAGAAAAGGTGCACAACAGCAAGTGATGATCGAAGAATGAAGAGACTGTGCCTACGTGACAGAAGAAAATCATCTGGGTGTATACAAGATGACATGACGCAATGTAATGTGAAGCTGAGTGCAAGGACTGGTCTAAATGCTAGAATTCTAAGGGGAAAGCCATTGTTATCTCTCAAGCAAAGGTTGAAAAGATTAAACTGGGCTACAACCCATGTTAACTGGACAGCGGAAGAATGGGACAGTGTTATTTGGAGCAATGAGACCCAAATCTCCTTGCTTGGTAGTGAGGGCATGGAAAACGTGAGGAGAAGAATCGGAGAAGATTTATATCCTACAGTGGAAACTCGGGTTATGTACCGTCCTCCTTATGAACGCTTCGGGTAACGAGCTCCGCTAACCTGGAAGTAGGTCTCCTGGTAGCGAACTTTGCCCCGGGATTCGAGCGAAGCGCGTCTCAGGATAAAAACGGATTTGGGTTAAGAATGCACCTCCGGAACGGATTAAGTTCTTAACCTAAGGTACCACTGTATTTCTAAATAAACCTCAACTAGTAAAACTGCCAGCGTTCCATGTCTTGTGTGAGAGAAGTGCTAAATCTGACAATATACCACTGGTCCTGGAAGACCTACATTGGCTCCCAGGACATTTCCAAGCACAATTTATAGTGTTGGTGCTGACCTTTAAAGCCCTAAACAGCCTTGGTCCAGTATACCTGAAGGAGCCTGAATACTGTGGTCCAGCTACGAGGGCCTCCTGGCAGTTCCCTCACTCCAAGAAGCCAAGTTACAGGGAACCAGACAGAGGGCCTTCTCGGTAGTGGAACCCACCCCATTGATTTCCCTCCAATCAGATGTTGAAGGAATGGGTTTCCAAAACCTAAAAGCTGACTGGGCAGTTAGTCTGAAACGGGCCCCAAAATCCGCATTTTTCCTTCTCCAAGGGAGCATTTCTAAAATGCTTTAACTTGAGCTGTTGAGCAAATGCATAACAGGAACCCAGCTGTATAAACAAAGCGCTCTCCCTTATTAGTCCATGAAGGCTGGTAATGACGGATGGCCTTGTCAGTTCCGAGTGGAGCAGGGATGGCACATCGGGGTCTTATCTTACATCCTGACCACACTCTGACGCACAGACCTAGTCCGGGAACGGCTCCAGGAGTGCACTTAGAGTTGGTGACCTACTTACCCCAAGATAAGGAGTACAGGAACAGGAACACCCTTTTATGGTTAAGAGTACAGGAGCAGGAACATCTGTGATGTCAATGTGCGTGTATAAGCTGACGTGGCTGGATTCCTGGGGAAGGGGGGAGAGGGTGCCTGGAGGATATATATACTGCATGTATCTCTCATTTCTTTGGACTTGCTGTGAACTGACCACGCAAGTGCCTTCTGCTATCCAGAGAGCAGAATAAACTCTTTCTCTGACTCAACCTCGGTGTCATTTGACTTCCTTTCTCCCTCCCGGGAGCAACGCAGACCCCACCACTTTAGACTGGTAAAGTCGAAGAAAGCTACAATGTCAAGGAAATAAACAGCTATCACACTTTTAGAAGACATCTGAAGGCAGCCCTGTTTAGGGAAGCTTTTGATATTTGATGGATTATTGTATTTTAATATTTTTGTTGGAAGCAAACCAGAGTGGCTGGGGATACCCAGCCAGATGGGCTGGGTATAAATAAACTATCATCATCATCATCATCTTAAACAGAGGTACCACTGTACATGTATTACACCTACTGTGAAACACCCAGTTAGTGTTATGATCTGGGGTTGTATGGCAACCCAGCAATTAATATAAATAATTCAATCTTGGTTTCACATTATTACAGCTGCAGAAATAAAAAAAACTTGGTTCACTCCATGGGAAGACGTTGCAAGGTTGTAATTGAAGTTACCAAACCAAGTATTAGTTGACATGGTGAGAATTTCTGCACATCTCCTTTTTTCTATGTGTTTCGCATTTCTTCTTTATGACTGATGTTCTAATAAATACTCCTTCATAAATGTTATTGCATTACATTCTTCATTAAATAATCTTTCCATTGATATAGAAATTTATGGTATTATTCCCTAAAAGTGGTGTTATGAGCCATCAAACCTCAGAAATACACTTTTCCCAATAGGCTTCCACAATTTTGGCCACTAGTATAAGTTGTTCATTTTAAAGTTAATGTACTTTTTATATGGGATCAGATGGTTATTATTAATGTTTCATGTTTATATGTGTTGGAAGCTACCCAGAGTGGCTGGGGCAACCCAGTCAGATGGGCAGGGGATAAATTATTATTATTATTACTACTACTACTACTACTGCTAGTACTACCTGAGATTCATTCAGCCTGGCTCTTTTGTTTGGCCCAGTCATGGCATCCCCTCCATCGCCAATGTGAGGCGTCTCTCTGGTCAACCCAAGACTGACAGCAGCAAAAACGAAAACAGAAAACCTGACAGAAGCTACTTATCTTTCCTAACAATTCTGAAGCTGACAGTTAAGATGCCTGGGCAGTTCAGATCAGCCCAACTGTGGTAGAAGGAGGCAGAACTGGAGGAAGATTGTTCACAGAAAAAACTGTAGTTTACTATTTCTTGTGGGGGTGTTAGGTTCCCAGGTGTTGTAGGGGGCGCTGTGAAAATATATGAGGTTTGTCACATAGAGGTATTTTTTGAATTTCCTGGCAGATAGGACGATCCCACACGGAGGCTTACCAAGAGAGGCCACGATCCCCCAATTCTCCTCCATTACGTCCTTATGCAGAGCTCTTTGGTCAGGATCCAGCAACGCCCACTCCTCATCCGTGAAACGAACAGCGACATCTTCAAAGCACACTGGACCCTAAAAGAAAAAGGAAATGTCCTCCTCTGAGATAGCAGAAATATGATCTGCTACACAATGCTCTGTTGTTTCCTTCCTGTTAATTGCTGTGTTATTTCAATAGGATTGCTTTGCTGCACATTTTAATTCTGGATACCTATTTTAACGCTTTAATTGAATTCTTTTATTCTGCATTTTAACTGTGGGTATTCGTCTTTTTGCAAATAGGTGGTACTCCAGCTTATGTTTACGTTATTCTGCCTACGCAAGCATCCCAGTTTCCCGATGGAAGGATCCACGTCCTCCTCTCCTCGTGAGTTGTTCTGGGGAGGTTCCCTCACAATGCCCTAGAGCCAAATTCAAGGGGTTCATGGCTGCTATTTGTTCTCATTTGTCCACTGCTTAGAAGCCTATTCAGTGATCAATATAGAAATAAAGAAGCCTAGTCTGGATGGCCATCTGTCTTGGATGATCTAGCTGAGACTCCTGCAATGCAGGGGGTGGGACTTGATGACCTTTGGGGTCCCTTTCAACTCTAGGATTCCATGAAAACAACAACTACAGATGAATCCTGCTGGCGACATTCTGTTGTTTTTTTAAAATGATATTTATTGAGAGTTTAAAATTACAGAAAAAAGTGAGGGGGAAAAAGAGAGAAAAGAAATTAAACAATACAAGTCAATACATATAAAAAAGAAAAAAAATAACAAAACACACAATACATCAAAACCAAAAACAAAAGCAAAAAAATTAAAAACAGATCCAATATTTCCATACCTTTATCTTTCATTAACTTGTTTCATCGACCTCCTCACACCTCCCTTTTTTTGTATTCTAGTTATTAATTATTTCAGCAGATCCTTTCTATCTTTCACTATTTTCTGTCATTTAATTGTCTTAATTTATTTTAACCTTATCTTACCATAAAAACCCTAAAACTTAAAACTTATTTGTACATAACTCCTTATAACATTTCTACTAAAGCCATATAGTTTCATTCCAACATTTTTCTAACACTCATTAATTTTACAATATTTCTCTAAATAGATTTTTAAACTTTCTTCCAATCTTCATCCACCGTCTCTTCTCCCTGGTCTCGGGTACTGTCAGTCCTTTCTATCCATTCCATCTAGTCCATCAACCTGGTGATCTTTTGTCTGAGGCTCTTAACTCTTTTCCATGTCCCTTCTGCAGATCTTCTTCATATTTATACCTGCACTTTACTTTGTCTTCTGCTGATCTTGTTCTTAATTTCCTTCCTTTGTCACTAAGGAGTAGATCTCGGGGAGACTCTGTTGGGATTCGCTTGATACTGAGTAAGTCTGCAGGCTTCAACAGGATGATGCAATACTCTGTGAAGTGCTGGGTCAGAGTGACTCAGCAGGAGTGTGATTAATGTGATTGGCTATCACCTGTTTTAAAAAGGAAAGCCTGTTCAACAGTAACTGTGGTTGTGGTGGTTGTGCTGTGGTGGTGGTGCTGTGGTGGAGAGTATTTGTTTGCCTTAAGGAGCAGGTACTCTGTATGGACTGTTTTTGTAAATACCTGTATATAGCTCACATTAAAAAGACTGCACTGGAAAACCCT